AATTTTTTCAGAATTTTATTTGATTTTTTATTAAGTGAAAATCGTAAAAATGTAAAAAAATCGTTTTTTCGTTCTAACTTGATCACGTCTTCATATAGAAATCTAAAATTTGGTATGTAAGCATCTTTTTATATTAGTTACCTTAGGAAAAAAGATCAACTCGAAAAGCTGTGGGGACATTTTCACTATACTTATTCCGCTAGGCCCTTCAGAGCGCATAGGTTTGACGCGTGAAGTGGTCTAAGAGGAAGTCATAAATATGTCGAGCATTGATTTCTCAGAGATGTCAACCGACACCTCCGATGAAATTCACGTACTACTCTTTGATCACGCCGCGCTTCTATGAAAAGATATCTATGTCAAATAATTGATAAGTAATTCCGGTGGTGCTTCCGAGAACGACGTGGTCCGATGAAGAGATTACCTTACTCGAGGATTCCTATGGCTAAAGATCATGCAAGGAACAAGGGAATTAAAAGTATATAAATCCCGGATTTTAGGCGCGAGCGTTCATTAATAATTAATCAATAAAAAAGACTTGCTGTTAGTCGCGGAGGCAGTCGACTTGGACACAGTACAATTGGACACGTTGCAAATGAACACGGTTTAAATGGACACGAAATTTTGGACACCGTTCTTTTGGACACCGTTCATTTGGACACCGTTCAGTTGGACACAGAAAGATGCGACCTGTTCAGTTGGACACAGAAAGATGCGACCTGTTCAGTTGGACACAGGAATAAGCAACATGTTCATTTGGACACAGAAAGATGCAACCTGTTCAGTTGGACACAGGAATAAGCAACATGTTCATTTGGACACAGAAAGATACAACTTGTTCAGTGGGACACAGAAAGATGCAACCTGTTCAGTTGGACACAGAAAGATGCAACTTGTTCAGTTGGACATAGGAATAAGCAACCTGTTCAGTTGGATACAGAAAGATGCAACTTGTTCAATTGGACACAGGAATAAGCAACCTGTTCAGTTGGACACAGAAAGATGCGACCTGTTCAGTTGGACACAGGAATAAGCAACATGTTCAGTTGGGTACAGAAAGATGCAACCTGTTCAGGTGGACACAGAAAGATACAACCTGTTCAGTTGGACACAGTTCTTTTGCACACAGTTTTTTGCGCACAGTTCTTTTGCCCACAGTTCTTTCGCGCACATTACTTTTGCCCACATGTTCAATTGCGCACATATACTTTTCCATGCAAAGGGAAATTTCACATGGGTTTGCAACGGGGTGGGGGGTGGGGGTGGTTGCATTCTGGGCGTGTACTTTGCAACGCAAACTGGGATTTCACATGGGTTTATAAAACTATAGGCAAAAGAACCGTGTCCAACTGAACAGATTGCATCTTTCTGTGTCCAACTGAACAGGTCGCATCTTTCTGTGTCCAACTGAACAAGTTGCATTTTTCTGTGTCCCACTGAACAAGTTGTATCTTTCTGTGTCCAACTGAACAGGTTGCATCTTTCTATGTCCAACTGAACATGTTGCTTATTCCTGTGTCCAACTGAATAGTTCGCATCTTTCTGTGTCCAACTGAACAGGTCGCATCTTTCAGTGTCCAACTGAACAGGTTGCATTTTTCTGTGTCCAACTGAACAGGTTGTATCTTTCTGTGTCCAACTGAACAGCGCACATTTTTTTCGTGTCCAAATGAACGGTGTCCAAAAGAACGGTGTCCAAAATTTCGTGTCCATTTGCAACGTGTCCAATTGTACTGTGTCCAAGTGAATGCCACTCGTTAGTCGCTTTTGTCAGTATCATTTCGTCGCTATTATTCTTATATTCTTGCTATTCGTTAATCATTATAACTAAACTATTATCTTCCCAGGAAGAAATGACAAGTCGAATAGACATCTAAGATGTCTAATAGATGTCTATTCTGTCTCTTTTGCTAGTATCTCATTGGTAATTTTGTTTCCCGCCTCGATGGGTGGGAACCAAAGTTATCAATGAGATACTAGCAAAAGAGGCAGACATAAGCCTCCCATGTAGTACCTCTCTCTCTGCAGCGGGCGCTCGCCTGTCTATCGCGATGCTCAGTCCAATGTATATATTGATGGTTGCGATACTTTAAGCGGCCTTTTCATTGACGCTAGAAACCAGCGGCAAATGGGGATCTAGTAACTAAATTTGCCGCTTGTCTTAATGGAGGGAGAAGTAGCGGCAAAACATGCGAGACCATGGACGTAAGAAATACTGGACAGAGTGTATTGCTGCGGGGGTGAAGCTCAAAGGGTGAGGGGAAAGAAATGTCTATTGCAACGGAATATGAGGCATATAAGATGGCGACGGATATTAATTTCACGGAGTGTGATATTTTTGAATTTCTTAATATTCAGAAATGATTCGGAATAACACAGCGATTTCAGATGATAGATTATTTCACGGAATCTCTCATATTTTATTCGATTTACGTCCGTGCGATGTGAAATTAGAAGCTAAATCTGATGCATCTAAGATGACCCCGACAAAAAATCCTTTATCCCTCAGGCTTTACACTCCTCGTCTAAAAGAGTACTTTATGCTCTGTCCTGTATTTCTTACGTCCATGTGCGAGACAAACATACTTTCTTTCACTCTAACTAATTGCACTAGTGTAACAGTGCAGCTAAAAAAAACAGACCCACAATTACACATTACTACACTTGAATTTTGCAACACGCTGAAAAAATTGAAACTGTCTGAATTTTATTTTATTGACGCCGAATCTAGTGAAAGAAAGTCTAGTGATTTTAATTTGCCGTTGGTTTCTAGCGTCAATGAAATTGCACCTTTAGATTTGTTCGCGTCGCATGCCTCAACATACTCCTACTCACTCCAATACGCTCCAATACGTTTGCGTCACCGGAACTAATATGGCGACTAGGTGTTCTCGTCGCGATAGAACATACTCTAAAGCCCCTTGCACAATACTAAGGAACAGGCAATAGAATAAGAAATAGTAACTATTCACCAATAAGTACGCGGAACAGAAAATATTCGCCAATAGAAACAGAGAATAGATATTATTTCTGTTCTTATTGCCTGTTGCCTATCATTGTGCAAGGGCCTTAAGGAGCATGCTCCATGTGCCTCACCTTCGATGGTAGTGCAGTTAGGGCAAATGTGCGCGCATGCGTAATATATAAAATATAAATTGATAGATAAACTCTTTAAACGAAAATGTATAACAAATTCTCTATCTGTATATATTGGCACTATATGTTCAACGTAGTCGGTTATGCATGTTCTAGGTATTCGTTGGACGAACCCTTCTGCCATTTCAATAATTGCGTTAACAGCAATATCTGCAAATATAAATTATATATAATTCAATAAAAATATACAAACTAAAAAAAGGCGAATTTAAAATAAAACCAATCTTCAGAAATTATATTTACACAAGGTTACAACGCTACATCTTTTTAATATTCACTTTTTATTTCGTCATCGTTTTCATTTTCAAAATTATTAATAGCCAAGGATAATAGATTTTGTTCTACAAATTCATCATTAATATTATCAATTATAATATTATTAATTATAATATTCAAATCAATAAAAGCATCAAGATCCATGTTATCATAATACTATAATGTGCGATTGGTTGGAAGCAAAAAAAGAAAGGGAAGTGCCACCGCCGTAGAGTTAAGAGGAATTGAATATTTTCGAATTATTCTTTATTTAGATAATTTGGGAATCGTTTGGGCAAGTTTAGGAAAATCATTTTAATATTTAGGAAATAATATTTTCTTTTTAATAATAAAAATGTATCAAACGTCAAGTTAGCAGATAATTATGTTTAATATATATTATAAACGGAATCGATTAGAAATCATTTGGGGATAATATATTCATTGATACTTTTATTTGAGAAAGTTGCTTTTTGGTAATTTAAATAAATGATTAAATAAATTAATTTAAATAAATTTATGCATTCAAAATAATGCATTATGCGTCATGCATGCGGCATAAAAGACATTCAAGGGATATTCAACCAATCAGAATTCTTTATGTGCGTTGACCTTTAAGAGCAAGCAAAATGAACACAGGTTTAACTCTATGTAACGTGTTTTTGTATAAAATTAAAGAATCTATAAAAAAAAATGTCGCTTTGCACCGCGAACCGAAATATTCACGATTAAAATTCACTACTATTTAGGTTAGGACATTTGTCATACCGATGGCACTAGCATTCACACGTACACATACACACACATACGGGGTGATGCAAGGGGGGGCCTTCGGCCCCCCTCCCGCACCCCGTCCCCCTTGCTTCGCGTGGAAAGTTGCAAAGTGGAATCTCCCTTTGCGTGGAAAGTCGTACCCCCCTGCACCCCGCCAGTTAGGGTGCCTACAGTAGAATGCAAATTTCTACGCGAAGCGAGGTTCCACTTTGCAACTTTCCATGCGTAGCGATGGAGACGGGGTGGGTGCGGGAGGGGGGCCGAAGGACCCCTTACACCCTCCGCGCGCGCGCGCGCGCGCGTGTGTGTAGGTGTACGTGTGAATGCTAGTGCCATCTACACAGTAATAATACATACAATAAATATATACAGTAGTCATTTCGGTGTCGGCACCTTTGATGTGCTTATGCCAAGTCACATGATCGCTATATTGAAAATTGTAACTTGGCGCGTAAATTAGAATTCTCTTTCATAAAATGCAAAGTTATTGTATAAGTGAAGTTATTGTATAAGTGAATAAACAGAATGCAATTGTTAATCTCATTAAAATTTGTTTAGAGCGAGATTATAGCTTTTTAAGTAATGTTATAATAATACATACATACATACATACACACATACATACATACATACATACATACATACATACATACATACATATATATATATATATATAATATATATATATATATATACTAATATATATATATATATATATATATATATATATATATTAATGTTACTTAAAAAACTATAACACTTACTCCAAACAAATTTCAATACGATTAACAATTACATTATATTTATTTACTGGTATTATAATGTTTACAATTTTAATATTATTTGTTTACACACACACACAAACAAAACATGTGTGTGTGTGTGTGCTGATATTGTTTTTTTGTCGTTTTAATTGTTGTTGTTTTAATCGTTGTTTCATATTTTGCAATTGCTGTCGTAACAAACGGATCTTATATCTGAGTTTCTGTTTTCATGGTGAATTACTTAATAGTTTTGCACTCGTTTGAATTATTTGATTTTGTGTATTAAATTCGATTTGTGTTTGTTGATCTTTTTGTCTTACATCATTTATTTGATTTTGATTTAAATGTTCTACTGAATATGTATCTGCAAAATATAATTTTTACATTAATATATATTAAAGAAATAAAAAAGAATTCATAAAATTAAAAATTAATAATATTCTTACCATGGTTATTTGAGAATATCTGATTGTCAGAAATCAATGAATTATATGCTGATTGATCATTTAATGGTATCGGAAATGCATTTGGCTGCAATCGATTCTTCAAGTCAAAAACATTGATGGTGCGAAGTGATTTTCACAAACACGATAATTTTTGTGTAATTTCTCTATCGACGTTTCAATAATACGCCCACAATTTTTTAACCATAATTTAGATCTGAAAAAAAAAATATATATATATATGAATAATATATATATGAAATATACAGGGTGTTGAAAAATTAAGTGCCATAAATTTGTGTGATGAAAGAAGGAATCAATATAAGCATTTTAAGTATAGGAACCGTGGGTCGGCGACGCTTAGTTACGGCGTGACAAGGGTTTAATTAAATTGTCACAATGTCTGCAATACAATGATTTTATTCGGTTAATTTTAGATGTTTATAATAAATGTTGGAAATTACGACCGCCAACGTTCCGACAAAAATCAGAACGACTTTGGAGTAGACAACTCTCCACAAGAATAAAAGAACACAAGTCCAACATCAATCGTCCTGTGGAATCTTTATCGGTGGTTTCACGTCATAGGCTAGACGGACATGAGTTCGATTGGGAGAATATCAAAATTTTAGATATTGACCCCTCTTTTTCACGTAGATGCATTTCTGAAATGATTCATATTATGCGACAAGAGAACAACTTAAATGTTCAGAGTGACACTGTTAATTTCGATAAGGCGTATTTGCCAATCATCAAATCTTTCCCGCTTGAATAAATGTGGGCCCCTATTAGTGTTCGTTTCGCTCCTGTTTCCTAACCCAGTCAGAAATGATTCATCGAAATGATATCGATTGAACGTCGTTCATATCGAAAAGATGTCGATTCGAAATTTGCGTCGAAATTTTGAATTTTGTGAGCAACATAAAAGTGCGTTTATGAAAAGTTTGGAAGTTTCATGCAATTTTTGATATTTTAGGTAAATATATTTTATATATAATTTGATATTCTCTCTCTTTTATTTTTTATTATATAGGGATCGAAACGATATTGTTTTGATATCATTTCGACATCATTATAAATATAGGAGAAATTGAATGTTGAAACGACATCGAAACGATGTCGATTTAGGAAAGCATCTGATTGGTAAAATATTGTGCACGTGATCCATATATGCGCATGGTGCACATAACAGTATGCGCGCGCCTACGATGATACGTCTTCCCGCCTTCCGTTTGCCTTTGTGTTACTCAGTGAAATTATAGGAAAAGAAATTTATTTATTCTGATAAAACATTCTAACCAGGATTTTGTTACATTATTTATTAGTGTGTGGCATAGTGATTTACTGTTATAACAAGCAATTATAACAAAGTCATTTATTAGCACACAATGGAAGAAAATCCGGTAAGTTTTGTAAATTACTATTTTTAGGTTAGGCTATTATTTTTTATTAGTAATTTTCTTAGACTTTGCGCACAGTGTAGAGAAAATATTAGGAATAAGAATAAATATTAATCATTAGATAGGCCTACTGCACAATACAAAAGTATACACAATAAGAATAGAGAATAAATTTCCATTAACAGAAGCAGATAGATATTAAGGAACAATAGATATTCTCTGCTTCTATTGATAAATATTTTCTATTTTTTATTCCTATTGCTTAATTACACTTTTGTATTGTGCAGTAAGCTTAATGCTTAATATTTATTCATATTCTTAATATTTTCTCTATTGTGCATAGGGGTCTTAGTCGAGTGTAATATAAGAGATATTAACTCTTGTTTTTTTTATATTTTTTTTATTTATTTTAATATTTTAGTTAGTTATAATACTATAAATATATAATGTTATATCTATTAGTATTTCTTAATGAAGTGTTATTAAATTCATTTTTTATAATTTGTCACTATCTAAGATTGTTTCTAAGCCTATGAAAAGAAAATTGCGTAGAAGAGCTGCAAAAGCTGTCATGAAAAAACTTAAAGCCGATGAATTGCAAATGAAAATCAATAAGATATATGTATAATCTTCGGATAATAGTTCAGAGGTATCATCAAATATTGAAGAAAATTTAGTGTTGTCAGATGTTGCTAATGATGAATGCTATTGTGATGTTCCTGAAGAAAGTAATAATAGTGATACATCTGTACAAGTTGAACTGGTTGCTGAACATATTGTGTCTGATTCACAGAGTGAATTGAGTGAGAATCCACAGTCTGATAGAAGTGAAGTCGAAAATGAGAATGCGATGGTTTTTAAAAATGTTGCTCAAATAGAACAATTTGTTATTGAATCACTTCGAGCGTGGACTTCTGAATCAGGTGTCCTTTCTATGTTAAAAGTCGATAATTTATTAAAACGTCTCAGTGTTGGTTTCCCTAATATGCCTAAAAGTTACAAAACACTTTTGAAAAGTAATATTAATCCAGAAATAAATATCTGTCAAAATGGAGAGGAATATTGGTACAAAGGTGTTAGAGCTAACTTGGATCAGTTATTACAAGATTATTTGCAAGTTCATAAAAAGATTATAATTGATATTAATATTGATGGTTTGCCGCTCTTTAAAAGTTCCAAACTTAAATTTTGGCCAATTTTAGGGCATCTTGTTGGGACTCTAAATGAACCTTTTATTATTGCCATTTACTGTGGAAAAAGTGATCCTCAGAATATTGAAGAATATCTAGAAAAATATGTAACTGAATTAGAAGATTTATTTCATAATGGCTATAAATATGAGAGCAACAATTATGAAGTTATAATTAGAAATTATATTTTAGACGCTCCTGCAAGAGCATTGATTAAATGTTGTAAGGGACATTCAGGTTACGCAGCTTGTGAGAAGTGCACCGTCATTGGAGAATACAATAACCACAGGATTACTTTCATAGACCTTAATCAATCTCTCCGTACAGATGAATCTTTCAGAAATCGCGAGCAACCTCAACATCACGAAGGAACGTCACCACTTGAAAGATTAGGAACTGGGCTTGTATCGCAATTTCGTCTTGATCCAATGCACCTTCTATATATTGGTGTGTTTAAAAGATTACTTCATTTTTGGTTGTTTGTGGTTGGAGCATGGAAACTGCATGGAGATATTATTAATCTTATATCTGAAGTTTTTGTGTTTCTTAAAGAATTCTGTCCCCAAGATTTTAATCGAAAGCCAAGATCTCTAAACGATTTTAAACTATTCAAGGCCACTGAATTTCGTCGCATACTTTTATATGATGGCATCGTTGCTTTCAAGAATTTAATTCATCATAATATCTATAAACATTTTCTTCTTCTACACAGCGCTGCATACATTTTGTCTAGTTCTACTCTTATTCGCACTCATCTTCACTTTGCTGAGCAATTCATCAGAACTTTTATCTCTCATTCAGTAGTTATTTATGGAAAGAGTTTTGTAGTGTATAATGTGCACTCACTCAGTCACTTAAGTAAGGAATGTCAAGAGCATGGTACTATGGATAATTTTAGTGCCTTTCGTTATGAAAATCGTCTAAAGTCAATTAAAGATTCCCTGATGTCATGCTATAAACCGTTGCAGCAGATAGCTAGACGTGATCTAGGAAAGGAAAAAATTAAAATTATTCTGGATTCTAAGCCTAATCAGTTTGTACTCTCTTTAAAACACTTTATTGCAAATGAAATTATTCGTGGCTCACAATATCGTAAAGTTATCATTGATAATATATGCTTCAGAATAGGTACAAAGAACTCTTGTTTTAAAACATCAAATGGTAATGTTGTTTTGCTAAAAAATATTGTTTATAGACATCGAACTCTATTTTTTGTTGGTTGTAAGTTTCAAAAACAGGAAGACTTTTATACATATCCACTTCCCTCTTCTGAACTAGGCATTATCTGTGTTTTTCAGCTTGAGGAGAGGAGAATAGCATCCTCTCAATGATATAGAATGCAAGTGCTACTTGATTCCAAATCAAGAAACTTGGTTGTGTGTGCCGTTACTTCACACTATTCCCTTAATGAAAAAAGCACATGCAGCACATTACATGAATTAATATATATAATCTAAACATTTTAGAAACATAAATAATTTAAACATTTATAGAACATAATATATTTATACTTCTTATTTTCTGTTTCACAGTTTGTTGTATTAAAATTTTTGCCAACAAATAAGGATCCAGATACATATTTTGATGTTGGTTTAAGAAAGTGGATTTGCACAGATCTTGATGATGAAATGTGCGGAAAAACATATTGGCCCCCTAATTCAAACTCTGTAACACAACTAGTAAAAACCGAAGAATCTTTTAAAACTAATTGGCCAAAACACGATGTGGAAGTGAAGAGATTTTACAGTAAAATTTTATTTTATTTTTTTGTGAACACACACTTTTATATATATATATACACCCACATTAAAATACTTCAACAATTTTTCTAGATACTTATCCAAAAGCCCGTGCAGCTATTTCTGGATTCCTTGCTGATTCTAATTATAAAACTGAGATAGAGCAATACATGGGTCGAGGGAAAAGGAGGAAAAAGAGTCGACAAATTACATCATCAGACAGTGATTCTAATTCTAATGTCTCATTAAAATTAACGACGAAAATTATTCCTGCTCCTCCTCCTGTGTTTCTCAAGAAAGCTTTCTCCAACACTCAACACTGTGATAGTGATTCAAATTCCAATACTTCTTCAAAACTGATGAAGAGGAATGTTTCTGCTTCCTCTACTATTAAGTTAAGTGAGGTTGAAAAACTTCAAGAAGAAAAGTTTGAAGAAACAAACGTAAATAAAAGGGTAAAAACAAAAAGGCCATTCTCTAAACATTCTAACGTGAACTTGACAGGAAAAGAAATTCAAATAGCAAAAGAAATTGCGGCCTCGAAAATGAAAAGGCCAGAATTATTAACCTCATTAAGCAAGACTATAAAAAGTCCATTAAAACCTGTGTCATCATCTGTGTCAATATCTTCTCCAACTTCTTTCAATTCACTGTTTACAAATAGTCCTGCTAATTCTGATACAAGTGCTGTTCAAGAAGAAGAAAATCTTTTTTCAAATGTACAATCACCGATGCAAAATACAATACCTGAAGACAATTTGTTTATTCATCCAACTTCAACGCAAGATTCTATAACAACCGATAATTTTAATCGTAATTCTAAGAACATCAGCAGTGACTCAAACTGCGAACATTCATCAAAATTATCTAATTCAAGCACTTCCCATCGTACGTACGGACGAACAACATTTAAAGAGCAGTTGCATAATAAGAACAAAGGTAATTTTGTTGCGATATGAGTGTAAAACCAATATTTGCTTTTAGTGATTCTAATTTTTCTACTATGTTTATTGCAGAGGAGACATTAAGCTTATTCAAAACGAAACTTGACAGAACACTTGTTATAGTAGAAGAAGTTTCTGGAAAGCTAGATATTCTCAACATGAACATGAGCAAGCTCATGAGAGTTATAATACCTTCAGAAAAGAGAATTTCGCGTCCTGAAAAAATGCCAGCATTACCGCTTAACACAAAACAAGATTTAGAAGAATTTAACAAATTCTTGGAAGCGGATCATAATTTAGCTGCTGCTGTAAATAAATAATTTCTCTTTGATTTTTTGAAAGAAAATTTCCTTTTATATGTGCTTACTAATATTTCATTATTTCTCGTTTACAGTGTCATTACATGTCTAATTATATGAAGTTAAGCGTGAAGAATCCCGAAAGGAAAAGCGCAACAAATATGCTAACAAAATTACTCTCTAATACACTGGCAAGTGAAATAAATTGTGACGGAGGTAATGGGAAAATTGCTTTCAAATCGCTTAAACTTTATGATTTGTTTCAAGGTAATTATTTACATTAATACGTTGGATTTTTTATTATTTTTATGCAAAAAGATGCAAAATGTTTGATATTTATATATGTACATGTCTTGTTCTAGGAACTCTTCAAATAGCTTTTTCGAATAGTGATCTTACTGAAGCAAATGCAGCTTTGGCTGGGTGGTTAAAAGATGCAAAATGGCGCAAGCAGTGTGACGGCAGTTTGGGAAATAGGAAGAAAAAATCTTAAAATTACGACTGAACAACAGTAGTGTTTCTATAAATAATATATCAAATGTTTAATTACTTATATATGGGTTCATGAATATATCAACTTTTCTTGCATAAGCATTTTGCACAGAACAGTATGGGATTATTTGTGCTTTGATAAGATTATTTTTATACTTTAAAGAAAATGTGATTGTTATTTTATGGCAGAGTCTTTGATAAGATTACGTTTTATACAACTCTTTAAAGAAAATGTGATTATTTTATTTAAAAAACGCTTTATATTTTTACATTATATTATTATGTTAATTATATTGGGGCTCTCTTATGGTTATTTTTATTTTCATGTATCAGAGTTAGATAAATGGTTGTGTATGTATAATATTTTAGTTTAGGAAGCGTATAGAGAGATCTTGATATTGTTAAAACATTTAAATATTCTAAGCGATATTTCCAAAGATAATAATATATATATATATATGTACATGTATATACATAATATATACATAATATATACATAATATATACACACTTTGGCATACAAAGTACCGACTTTTTTTATAAATTCTAGTTGGTAAATATTAACATATTCTTTTGACAAACATTTATAATAAAAATAATGATAATAGCAATAATGTTATATGTATTATCAATATATGTATTCACTATTTATAAAACTTATCATTATTGTAGAATTCATATATTTTATCTCCTTTTTTATTATTATATGTAAAAATCGAAATGTCTTTCCTTCCTAAAGATATACGATATATATAGATAATTATGTAATCAAATTAAAATATTGTAGTATTGTAGCCTATTGTAATATATATATATATATATATATATATATATATATATATATTCACATATAGAAATAAGAACAAAATATAAATAAAAAGATTCATCCATTTATATAATTACTATGACAATAGTAACACTCTGAAAAATTTTGAATTAATATACGTAAAGAAATGATTGAATAAAAAAGTAATCATTTATATATATATATATATATATATATATATATATATCATCATTAATTTTTTAATTTAAATTTATATATATATAAGTTTAAATTTAATAATATAAAAAAATTAATGATATACATATAAATTAATTGACTTTTTTCAATCATTTCTTTACGTCTATTTTATTGATTCAAAATTTTCACAGTAGTGTTATTACTACTGTTATAAATTATATAAATTAATGAACTTTTTTATTATATTTTATTATATTTTATTCTTATTTCTTTTAAATAAATTACAAGATTTCTCAATATTGGATTAAAAAGATCGATTCGAGTTTCTATTTCGACGTCGAAAATCAATCGAAATTGGAGTCAAAAATTCATCGAAATCAATAGAAATTTCGAAATTTTTCGATCTTCATTTTCGATGTCGAAACAACGTCTTTTCGACAAATCATTTCTGATTGGGAAATCCCCCCTCATCCTCCTGTTTTTTCCTCCCCCCTCCTCATCCGCACTCCTTTTCCCTTGATGCCTTCGATATCGGCTCGTATGTTTTAGTATGTCACACCGTTTCGCCAATTATATCGCCTGTGTGTTATTATTTGAATTTTTCTTTTTCTTATTTCTGCTCCCGTCTGCGCTTATTTCTACGATTTTTGTATATTTTAATTCGTACGTATAATTATTATACGTATAACTATTGTATAACTATTGTACGTATAACTATTGTATTATTGTGCAATTTAATTTATTCTTTATATTAGAAGCCTTTATTTTATTTCTCTCATTTTTGCGCTTGGTTGTATGTGAGATTGCGTGTTGCTCCGCTCGTTTTAATTTTTTCAGATTTTGGATGAAAAAGCACTCTACCTGTGAAACAAAAATTGTCATGCATTGTGGATTATTAGGAGACAATTGATTTTTATTTGGCAATTTGATCGCCTGCTCCTTGTGCGTAACGGACAACAATAGCTTTTGCGCCGTTTTTGTTTTTTGACCGGCTGAGCTCGATGACGGTCAACAAAGGTGAGTGGAGATACGTTCTCGCACTTGCAACCTATGCGAGTTTTTTGAAAAAAATTTTTATTTTCTGCGACAACATGTATTATTGCGTGTTCCTTGGCGGCTATGTTGCGGTCGTCGTACCGTTGTTTTCATCTTCCTTTGTGCGAAATTTTGACTTTATTAATTTTGTCTGTTTGCGCTACAACCATATTTGTTTTTAGATTTGACATGACTTTCACGTGCGTTACTTAACGGATTATTCTATTTTATTATTATATGCATTGAAAAGGATTCGGAGAAGATCGAAACGTTTGCGTTAATCAATGTATTTCGTAATTATTAACATGATTGTAATTTCCCATACAGCACAAAAAGGCCAAAAGACGTCTTAAAGACGTCTAAAGGACTTTAAGACGTCTTTAAGTAGTCTTTTAGATGTCTTTTGGACATGTGTGCTGTCTGGGTTAACACGTATTTACAATTCATTTTTCTTTTTTTTTTGCGTCAACTTCTAACACCGGTGGCTTTACTTGCCTTTTTGTGTATTTGTTTTTATATTTATTATTCTGCGCCACCCATTCCTAATATTTTTATCTTCATATATATATATATATTATATATATATTTTATGTATGTATAAATTTAATAGTTAACTTAATAATGTTTGAATAAATTTCGTAAAATTTTAATATCAATAATTTAATATCAATGAATTACTTTTTTTTATTCTTACCTTTCTGAATCTCGTGGAAAAGAAAAAAAGCTGAGGCCAGTCACGTCCAGAAATATTTGAGCATCCTTGCATTGTACAGCTATAGACACCTTTCATGATCTTCCTTCCATTATTATTTCTCTTCATAATAATTATATTATGATTTATATCTGTAATTATGCAAGATTTATTTTTAGTTAAATTTATTTTACATATATTTAAGAGGTTAAATAAATCGCATAAGCACAAGATGCATATTATACACATTTAAATATCAATTACCTTCAGACATTTTTATTTTTTCTGTGATGACACAAAATTTAAATTTTATCTTTATTACTTAATATTTTATCACAGCATAACGTGTACAGATAGCATGTGGCACATAGGCCATATTAAAAATTGTACAATTGACGCATGCGTACTCAAAATTGCGGTCCTTGGAGAACAAAGAAGTGTCCCTATATACCTGTATATACCCCTATATCCCTGTATATACTTATAGGCCGGTATTCATAGTCCGATCTTATATTTGAGATCGTCTTAAGTTCGAGCTTGAAATGCTACGCAGCTATTTGATTGGTTGAATGAGGTCTTAAGTCAACCTCGAAGCAAACTTAAGACAATCTTAAATATAAGATCGGACTATAAATACCGGCCATACTGTGCCATCGGTATGACAGATATCCTAACCTAAATAGTAGTGAACTTTAATAATGAACTTTAAGTAGTGAATACCGAAAGGTTCGCGGTGCAAAGCGACGTTTTTTTATAGACTCTTTAATTTGATACAAAAACACATTACATAGAGTTAAACCTGTGTTCATTCTGCTTGTTCTTAAAGGTCAGCGCACATAAAGAACTCTGATTGGTTGAATCTTTTATGCCGCATCCAGAACGCATAATGTATTATTTTGAATGCCTCTTCTCTAAGTTTCCCCTTCAGACCGGCAGAGTGACGGAGATAGCACCTTACTCCATATCGTTCCGTCCTTTAGAAGACGCGGACAATTTCATTCACAGAACGCTGGGTCTATATTATATATGTCTATGCTAAAAGGTTTGTATATCTAGTGACTTTATTCAGAATTTGTCCGTAAGGCTGGGTCTACAATAGATAATTTAAGCCCTAAGCCTTAAGAAATTGACCAATCACAGTCGAGTATTCTCTTCATACTTTTTCAATCTCTTAAGGCTTAAGACTTAAATTATCTATTGTAGACCCGGCCTAACCCTTGGTCCACAATCTTGCTTTAACTGACAGAGTCGTAAGAAACTAACCAATCGTATTTAATTATTCTTCTCACATTCAATTGTGATTGGTTAATTTCTTACGACTCCGTCACTTAAGCCGGTATTCCTAGTCCGATCTTATATTTAAGATCATCTTAAGTCTGCTTTGAGATTGACTTAAGACCTTATTCAACCAATCAAATAGCTGCGTAGCATTTCAAGCTCGAACTTAAAGCCGGGTTTACAATAGATAATTTAAGCCCTAAGCTTTAAGAAATTGACCAATCACAATCGAGTATTCTCTTCATACTTGACTGTGGTCAATCTTTTAAGGCTAAATTACTTATTTGTAGACCCGGCCTAAGACGATCTCAAATATAAGAACTTCGGACTATGAATACCGGCCTTAAAGCAAGATTGTGGACCAAGGGTTACTCCTGTCGATCCTTAACTTACAATTCTGTATATCGTGACAAATTAGTAAGAAAAAGAAAGAGAGAAAACATGGAAAATACTTTTGCGCGTATTGTTTATCGTAGCATTGTACATTTACTATTTTTTGCTTAACAGTTGCAATAGCGACGCAACTACGGAAAGCCGTATCTTACAGTGCATAGCATCATTCGATCATCATCGCTTAATCTTATTTCATTTAACGAAGAACACAACCATGGCGTCACCAGATTCGACCAATATTACTCTTAATGCTGTAACAAATGTTGAAGAGACAACGGAAAATATCAAAGAGTAAGTTATTTCTTAAGATGTACTATAATGCATTATTCAATGTAATTGCTCTTACTGGACGTAGACATGAATAAAAAACGAAGCTTGATTATAAGCATTTTTTTTTGAGAAACATCGTTTTAACATAGGAAACTCTTTATCTCTCTGTTTCTATTATATTTAAACATAATAAAATTAATATTTCACTATACTTTTTGCTCTTTCATGCATAGTCATTTTGTAAGTAGTATTAGCTTTCCAATTAATAAAACGAATGTATATATAATTATTGATTATTAAACAACTTAGTATACAAATTCTTGAAATAAAAATATTGAATTTGTAGAAACTTTAAAATTTTACTATATATATCTTTATATTGATTATAATGGGAGTTTTTTCTAGCAAGAAAACAGGTAGATAAATGGAATTTGAGTAGAAAATTTTTGAAATTTCGAATATTGTTCTATTTGATAATTATATATTGTATCTATATATATATTTTTTGCTGGAAAACTTTCAATATAAGAATTCTCAATATAAGTATGTAAATAAGTGCTATATGTTTATTTTTATTAATTTTCAAGTAAGAATATGTTATACATTACATTGTATTATATTATATATGATATTTTTTGAAGTAATTTGAATTAATTTTTCTATTCATTTAGCATGTTTACTAATAATATCAGTATATCTATTAATGTTGCATCCTATCTTAAATATATATATATATTATTTTTTTTTAAACGAAGAAATACATTTGAAAAAATATATAACAGATCATTATTGTAATAATCAAAAATTATAAAATTTTGACTCTTAGGCCTAGTTGCACCAACATTATTTCAGCTTTAAGCAAGATGTAAATGTATATCTATCTTTATCTTTCTTTCTAAATAAATAAGAGATACATATATTTAAGTTTCGCTTAAAGCTAAAATAATGTTGGTGCAACCGGGCCTTAACAACTTAAACTTGTGAAATTAAACTCATCTCAGATATATTCATAATAAGTTTTATCACAATGTATAATAGTAGCTAAAAGCTAGTACAAATAAAAAGGAAAATAAATATAATTGTTGTATGTTTAATTTGAAATATTGATAATAGCTCAGAGATATTATATATATATATTTTTATTGTGCCAAACAGTGTAACACTCATAATTGGAACATTCTATATTGAACATAAGGCTCAATAAACATGATAAGCACAGTAAGAAATATGGAATTAATATAAAAAAATGTAATTATTGGAATTAATATAAAAAAATATAAGGAATTAAGTCCATATTAAATACATTGAAATCAAAAATTGGAATAATCAATCAAGACTAATTTAAATTTTGTTTTTGTCTTAATTAGTTAAATTTTAATCTTTAAGCTCATTCTAGAATGAATCATTTATCATTAGCATAAATAAATTGACCAATCAGAATTGATTATTTCAAAAATAATCGACTCTGATTGGTCAATTTGCCTATGACTAATGACTCATTGTAGAATGGGCCTTAATCTGCAATGCATAAAATCTGTTACAAGCTTAACTTCTTATTTCAATTAGATATTTATTTATTTAATTAATTAATTAATTAATTAATTAATTAATTTATTTATTTATTCTGTTCATTATGTAAGTCTTAATATCTATATCATCTGTGTCATTGTATAATTGGAAGGATTCGTTACTATAGTTTACTCTGTGTGTGTGTGTGTGTGTATTATGTCTTATTATATATATATATATATATATATATATATATATATATATATATATATTGTATATGTATTATCTTATATCTTATATCTACTATATCTACTATATATGTATATATCTATAAATTTTTATTTCTAGATTGGCAGAATCAAAAAAAGAAGTTGCTAATCAATATTATTCTCAAAAACAATATAAAAAGGCATTGATTGGTTATAATGAAGCTATTGGTAAATATTCTAAAATATTATATACTTTTATTTTAAATATTAAAAAATGGTTTAATAAAATATAATTTATAAAGTTATTTTAATAATTTTATGGCTCTTATTTTTATGAATGATATAATTATAATGTTTACAAAATATTTCAGCAATGTGTCCTAATATATTGCGTTACTATAGCAATAGAGCAGCATGTTATATGATGCTTGGACAATATCGAGATGCATTAACAGATGCTAAAAAATGTATCGAATTAGAACCAAAATTTTCCAAAGTATGCTGATAATTTTATTTGTTTATCATTGTATGTAATACTTACTATTTGTGAATTTTATTTTTAGGCATACATAAGAATGATCAAGTGCTCGTTGATCTTGGGTGATATTGTAGAAGCTGAAACTATATTAAAGAAACTTCTAGAGTTTGATCCCAATAATGAATCAATAGCTACAGAACAAAGAGACTTAGCATACGTACAAAAGTTTCTTAAAGATGCTGATGCTTCTTACAATGCTAAAGATTATCGCAAAGTAAAATGTTCATTGTATATTTTCTTATTAGCAATTTATTGAGATTATTGAATATAATTTTTAAATTTAATCTTTTGTAGGTTGTATATTGCATGGATCGTTGTTGCGACATTAGCACATCTGGCACACATTTTAAGCTAACCAAAGCAGAGTGTCTAGCTTTTTTAGGAAGATATCAAGAAGCTCAAGATATTGCGAAGTAAATTTTTTTATTAAATTAAAAATATGTGACATAAAACATAATATATAAAATATACATTTATGAATTTGCATAAATTTTATCTTTTTTTAGTGATACTTTACACATCGATAAACAAAATGCTGATGCGATATATATTCGCGGAATGTGTTTATATTTCCAAGATGATGTTGATAGAGCCTTTACACATTTTCAACAAGTACTGCGACTAGCACCAGATCATACCAAAGCATTAGAAATATACAAGGTAGGAAAAAATAAAAAATTTTCTAATTTATATTAAGTAGAGGCATATTCTTCTACATTTTTTTATTTTATCAGAGAGCAAAATGTTTGAAGAAGAAAAAAGAAGAAGGCAATGCAGCATTTAAAAGGGAACAGTATCAAGAAGCATATAATCTTTATAGCGAAGCGTTAACTATTGATCCACATAATATTATGACTAATGCTAAATTACATTTCAACAAGGCAACAGTAGCAGCTAAGGTATAATTTTAAAAGAGCAAATGTATTGCATTGAATATATATTTGCTCTTATAAAATTAATACATTTGTATAAACATTGTGTCTATATAGCACAATTATTTATGAATTTTCAAAGGCTGCAGTATTATGCAATATATGAAAAATTATTTATTTGACACTTTCGCTTTATTTTTAGTTGGGAAGATTGAGTGAGTCCATAACAGAATGTACTGAAGCTCTCAAACTTAATGAAAATTATTTAAAAGCTCTTCTTAAAAGAGCAACCATCTATATGGAACTTGAAGAATATGAAGAAGCAGTCCGAGATCTAGAAAAAGCATGTAAAATGGATAAAAATAATCGTGGTACACATCTTATTTATTAACTATAATATTAATATTAATTCAAGAATATTAATGAGAATAATATACAAATATATTGTTTTCCATAGAGTATTTTAAAACTGTTGAATCTTCTAATGGTAAATTCTTTGGCCAATTTAAAAGATTATTTTAGATTAGATTTTTTCTTAGCAAAAATGTGAAAAGAGGTCATCTCCAATTTTTTGTATCATATCCCTATAACTAAATTAAATTAATATTATATTAAACTAAATTGAAATTATTAATGAAATAATGTAGTTTTGTTACTTATTTAAATTTGAAAAGTATAGTTTCTAAAAAAGAATTCTTTTTAAAAATTCTTATAATTTATATAATTTATTAATTCAATATTTTTTGCTTAAAAAAAATTAACTAAGTTGACAAAAAAAAAATTATCATTAAAAAGATATCTGATTTTGAGATACTTATATGTTTTATCATTTTTGTAGAAACCAAACGATTACTTGCAAAAGCGAAATTATTGCTAAGAAAGTCCAAGAGGAAAGATTATTACAAAATTCTGGGTATTGATAAAAATGCATCAACTGAAGATATCAAAAAGGCGTATAGGAAACGAGCTTTAGATCATCATCCAGGTAAAGAATCGAAAATAATTACATAACTATTAACTAATAATTCTTATATAACTAATTATATTTTTATTATATTTATTTTATAGATCGTCACGCTAATGCAAGTGAAGGCGAAAAAAGAGAACAAGAAAAGAAATTTAAGGAAGTTGGAGAAGCTTATGGTATTCTTTCAGATCCCAAAAAACGATCTCGTTATGATCGTGGTCATGACTTAGATGATAATGAGAGTAATTTTCAAGGTTGGTATTTCCTATTTACTAATATATGCTAATATGTGCTAATAATTTGATCGTATATTTTCTGCTTTTTTATTATATTATAATATTGTATATTGTATAATACTTTTTTTATCTTTGTTCCCAGATATGGATCCTAATGCAATGTTCCATTTCTTTTGTCAAGATGGAGAGGGTTTTCAATTTCAGTTTCAGGATGGCTTTCCTGGTGGTTTCCAATTTCAATTTCCAGGTTAACAATATTTCTCCAAAAGTATAATACATAACATGAATGTAGCTGTGTATATGATGTTCGAATTTATTTTAGTAAATACTGCATCGACTTTTTCTAATACTTAATCAGACGATGTAATGTAGTATAGTTAATTTGCATTTCGTGATTTTGAAACAGGCATTCACCGGCACAATTATGTGCAATTATATATAATTTATTTAAGTATGACACTATTATAAATAATATATTTACAATTTTATTGTACTAGATTTTCGATTTAATTAAAATTGTTCAGATTAACGTTCAAGTGCAAGCAAGCTTTCAGACTTGAAACATACATATATCTGACGAAACCTTTTTGAATAGGTAAAAGAAATAACTCTTAAGTTAAAGTAGTCGTATTTAAAACTATTTTATTTTTTAATTGAAATCTGTCAATTATGTTTAACATATTACTTAATACATCGAAAAAAATGACTTTAGTTTTTACTTATTTTGGTATTAATTATCAGAACCGATTTTAAAAATTCGTAAAACCGATGATTTGCTATAATTTCACTTAAAAAGTATGTTTGAGTGTATGTGAATAGTCAGATCTCTTTATCCTGAAGTAGAAACAGAGTGCTCTCTCTTTATTTTAAATTCTTATTTTAATCTCTACTCTTATTTGTAATATATAAATTAATAAAATTTACAATTTGCAGGAAAGTTATCTTCTGGAGTAAAGAGATTCGACTATAGATAAAATTTTTTTTTCCATAATTTTGTGCCTAATTCTAGATTCATTACTACAACTTAGAGCAAAATTATTGTAAGAATATTGATTAAAATAATGTAAACTAAAATATTTGTATATTAGAAAATTCCTTGATTATATATGCATTGAAAATCTATAGTTCACATTACGTGTATTATAGATTTATATTAATACTAGCAAAATTTTAAAACTTTATCCTTGATTGCTAACATCCCAATTTTTTCCATATATATAAAGTATCCAGGTGTTTTAAAATATCCAGTCAAATATCTCACATACAGAACCATGTTATGTATAAAAAAAAACTTTAAATAAAAGTAGGATTCGAAAGAAGGAGAAAGAGATACAGAAAGATATTAATTTGATTTTTAGTGTAAGTGCTAAGATTACGTGAAGGTTAACTTAATTTTTTAAGTGAAACTATTCTAATTTGTCTAAATTGATTCTTTATAATTACAATATTCTGCTTCTATAAAATATAAGGATAAGATAGCATAACCAAAAATTAAACATATATAGCTGTGTGAAGATATCTTATTCTAGGTTGACATAATTTTACATGAAATATCTCATAAAATATTCATTTTTTAATTATTTTTTATGCACAGAATAATAAGAGAAATCCATTGGTGTAAAAAGAACAATTTGTTTTTAAGAAAAAATATGAATTTGCAATGAGCAAATATTGTTCTAAACTGTTTTTTTTATACTAATTTTTCTGTACATAAAAGTATAGAATTAAAATAATCGCAAATAAAAAATAACATTATTTGCATTTTGCCATTGAAATTACGACATTTTTAATCAAGATCACGGTCTAAGGGCCTATCCAGACAAACTTCCATAGGCCGATATTCATAGTCCGAACTTATATTTAAGATCGTCTTAGCCCGGGTCCACAATAGGTAATTTAAGCCCTAAGCCTTAAGAAATTGACCAATCACAGTCAAGTATGAAGAGAATATCTGACTGTGATTGGTCAATTTCTTAAGGCTTAGGGCTTAAATTACCTATTGTAGACCCGGGCTTAAGCTGCTTTCGTCTGCTTGGAGGTTGACTTAAGACCTCATTCAACCAATCAAATAGCTGCATAGCATTTCAAAACTCGAACTTAAGACGATCTCAAATAAGATCGGACTATGAATATCGGCCACAGGTGCATATGCATAACATAAGACCATATGGACCAATGAGCATCGAGTATTATGTTATGTAAGTCAATATAGCGATTTAATACTCGATGCTCATTGGTCCATATGGTCTTATGTTATGCATATGCACCTATGTAAGTTTGTCTGGATAGGCCCTAATCAATTTCCTTATGCTTATGGTTATGCGCTTATGCAAAAGTGTGTGCTGCGGCCTTAAGGGCCAGGGCATAAACATTGCTGTAGGGATCACGGACAAAGGAATATAGGGACAGAGCCTAAACATAATGGGTGCTTTCCAATTGTTTAACACATCTTAACACAAACATACACAGGAAGGCACAAAGTGTAGCGATGTGCACGACTCAATTGGAACAAAGTTAATGTGCGACTTTCGAGTGGAGGGTTAGGATTCTTCATAACCATGTCCATCTTGATATTTTTTAATCCATGCTGAGAGTGATAGCATCGATATATAAAATGGATTGACCATTGCGTGTAGACAGGCGTCAGCCCGCGGTGAAGAGAGAGATACTACATGCGAGGCCTATGTCTGTCTCTTTTGCTAGTATCTCATTGGTAATTTTTATAAATAATATATAAATAAAATATATAAATGCATATTATATTAATATATAAATATGAATGAAAATTTAATCAGTAATATATCTAACCTGCAAATATGCAAAAGAGACAATTTTATTTTATTTATTAAATATAATAAAAAAATTAATTGTACAAAAACTCATTAATTTGAATTACTTACTTCAATGATACTTTTAATATTTTTATTGTCCATTTTTGTATTTGTATGGTGTACTTTAATGGTTGTCTTTTAATTAAAAAGGATAAAACGAAAAGAAAATTGCCAACATAATCGCCGTCAGTCTGTAACCGCATATTTCATTTGTCCCTAGAAAACAGAAGGTTACACAAGTTGACTAGTAGCCCTCGAGCTGAGTACGGATGTGTAAAGTTGTGTCGGCAGTTACGGCAATTGGAACGCGACTTGTGTCGCCGTGTGCATAAAAGTGTCTAGGGATATCTCAATTGGAAAGCACCCAATAAATGGACAAGGGGAGTGAAGTGAAAATGCGGGGGGGTCCGCCATGATAGTGCCTGAATTTGATTGGTTATCGTTTTGCGCATGCTCAATACCGTCAAACTTAATTCAGACTGCATGCAGCAAGCAGTTTGAATTAGGTTTTAATTATGAAAAAGAATAAATGACAATATTTTTATATTTTATTAATTTATAAAACAATAACAATATTATGATAGTTAATTTTTTAAAATAGTTTATTGCAACGAAATTATTAATGAGTAGATAAAAGCTATGTATCATAAAAATTATACATAACGAATAATTGTAAATATAAATATAATTATTAAAAAATGAAAATCATATAGTTTACTTTTTATAAAAGTTGTATAATATATTTTCATAAAATATATTGTTACTTTATAAAATACAAAAAACGTTAGTAACTATTTTCTTATAAAATATTATAGAGTTGATAAATAACATAATTTTTATTATTGGCCTTTAAAAAGTATAAGTTTATTAAATAACTGACGTTGACTATTTGATTTATCTATACTATTTAACGCTATATAGTGTAGTCTAATTTTTACATATTTGTTGACAATAGCTCGAATTAAGTGGACAACGTGATTTTCCATTAATGATTGGTCGTATGCATGCTTATTTAAATCTTTAAATAAAGTGACATTAATAAATTGCTTCAAAACTTGGTTTGATATATAAGATTCATTATATTTTCGTTTTATAAATGTTTTGCTTGAATGAATGGCACACCGAATTTCCGTCTCACATTTACGACAAATAGTAATAACATCCTCTGATGGTTGCATTAATCCCTCGCGACTTTTTACGCTTATTAAATTATTCTTTCCATCGCTATTTATTAATGCACTTATACAAATATCGCAAATTAACTTTTTTTTAAATTGTATTACGACATAGCCGGCAATATATTCGACGACATTAATACAAAATTCCGAAATTTCCCGAACATCCGAAATATAGTTATGATCATTAATTAAATTAAAATCTTCATTATAATTATTGTTTTCATCCGATTCATCATCATGTAATCGTGACAGCCGTGACGTGGAATTTATAATATCTTCGGAATTTTTTATTTTGCCAGCAGATGTGACGTGTAAAATGGATATTTCTTCTAAAGAAATACAATTACCCGTTTTTGAGACGGATATCTACGTGAACAAGAATTTTTTTCATAGCGGCTTTGAATTGTCTGACGGTAGGATTATTATTTCCTCCGCCATGATGTCTAAAACATCCAAATAACAATTCTATGTGATCCTGACTAAGTTTATAAAACGGAATGTATTTTAAATAATTATTCTCTATACAAAGTTCTTTAAATAATAATAACGCACTTTCCATACAAATGAGAAATCCTACAAACCCTGTTTTGCGACGAGATTGACATAATAACTCGCCATTTTCTTTTTTTAATGATAATATGTATAATTTAAATTCGTTAAATTTATTCATTACTAATTCTATATTTTGAGAACATAATGCTTGCTTTAATCCAATCTGTTTCATGTTTTTTGAATTTAATATATCGAAAAGATCATTAAAAGTTAATAAAAATTTGATTGTTCCCTCGCAACCTTCAAATTCTTTTAACATTAAATTTTTCTCACAAAAAAAAAGCGAATCTGCTACCGATGTACTAAAAATTTGAGCCGCTAAACGGACTTTCATTTTTTGTTTATTATAATTGATGTGTGCGCTGCGTAATTTGTTCCCTAAATGCATACTTTCCCATTGTTGTAATTCATGAAGCTTATTTAAGTATGACCATTGGATTGGTTGATTATTTCCATCAATAAAACTTCGGATGTCTCCAAAGGTATTTCGTATCAATTTTAGCATGTGGCTAGGATCGAGAAAAGCCACTATTTTTTCATTTGTTATAGGATGTGGAAATGATGTCTGCAACGAAATAATATCATTAAAATTGCATCCAAGATTTTTAAGAACAGAAAAATTTGTAGATGTTCCGTCACAAGTCAAAGATACTATTCTCAAGCCCGTTTCATGCACAGCCTTAAAGCACTCAATCACTAAATTACTTTTCTCATCTGTAGATATTCCTTTTATTAAATAGTACGCGATTGGAATTTTCCATCCACCATTTATGCAAACAATTAGGGATGTACCGGATAGTAAATTTGCCGGATACCGGATATCGGATATCCGGAAATAATATAATACCGGATACCCCGCCGAATATCCGGTAGACTAAATATCCGGCCAGATTGCCGGATATTTGCCGGATACAAGGTAATAATAAAAAAACCAAGAAAAATATCCGATTTAATTATGATATTTTATATTTTATTTGCATAAGAATTATCAAAAATTGTAATTTAATATTAGTAAATTTTTCATGATGAACAATAACATTTCAGCATTCTGCGGTGACAATCTGTTTCGATTATCAGAATAAACTAACTTTCCCGCACTAAAAAGTCTTTCTGAATCGACAGAAGAAGGAGGAGCACTTAGGTATTTTATAACCAAACTTTTTAGATTAGGATATTCCAGAGCATGTGTTTTCCATCATATTAAAGGGTCCTCATTTCTAGGCGACAGTGGTATCATGAGGTATTTCGCTAGCTCAGCATTGTAGACAGCTGTTTTCTTTTTACTTCTGTCACTTGGTTGTCTCACAAGCGGTGTTTTAATTAATGAATCATCAAGACTATTATCAGTATCAGATTTTGAATTATTTACTATTTTGTCGAAACACTTCCAAATATCTTCGTGTGTTTCACTTGACATCTCGTCTTTGAGAAGGGCTGACGTTATGACTCTGCGTACTATTTTTGGTATCATTAGTCACTCCTTTATTCATTTCTAGTAATTCTTCAACAATCCACTGTTTGGCTTTATTTTCGTCTGAACAAAATTTTGTTTTGAATCTTGGATCTAATACGGTAGCGAGCACATTTTTGATCCTTGACATTGAGTCCTACATATAACAATAGAAAATACAATTATTTATTTCAAAGAAAAAATAATAATGGGAATTCATTAAAGTAATAAACAATGTGTAATAAGTTTTTATAATAGAAAGGAAAAGACTTCTTCTTTCGACAAAGGACAAAACTAGATTGATTTATTAAAATTCATTTCTCTTTACAAACTAATTTAAGACTATACATTTAAACCTTAGTTCTACGAAAAAATCTAGTTACAATTAACAATATCAATTTACTTAAGGTAATTAAAAGATTTACTCGAATTTAATCTGCAATGGATTTATATGCACTTAAGCCTTAGTTCCACAAAGTAATTCAGTTATATCTAAATGCATTAATCTATTTAAGGCAATTGAAAAGAAATGTTTAGGATTTACCAAGAAAACAAAACGCGAGCAAACCATATCACTACAAATGTAATATAGGAATACCTATAGGATTTAGAAATCGTTCTTCCATAGCTTTTTTGAGATCTTCTTTCAACATCATTACTCCAGTATCTCTTTGTCGTTTTGAAAGATACGAGTGTAGAGTAACAATTGCCGGAATAACATATCCAATTGTCTCAAAATCTGAACTGGCTATTTTAGTCATTTCTTCAAATGGTTGGAGAACACGTATAACGTTTTCTACCATATTCCATTGTATAGCCGAAAGGCTTGGAATGTCTTTCTCCGCAGCATATGCAGTTACCGCTTGCCGTTGTTCATGAAGCCTTGACAACATATAAAATGTAGCGTTCCATCGAGTGCTAACATCTTGAATTAACTTATGAACTGGCAATTTCAAACTTTCTTGTATGTTTTTGAGTTTTGAGCAGGCGAGTGAAGAATGGTTAAAGTGTCCAACAATTTTCCGACATTTTCCCAAAATTTCAACGAAATTTCGATTTTTAAAAATGCAATCGTGAATTACAAGTTGTAAAGTGTGAATAAAACATCCTACACTCTCTCCTAATATATCTGTAAAATAAAATACACAATATCTATAATTTTAAATCAATTAGTCAACCGTATTCCATAGCTCCATTTTTACGAAACGAATACTATATATTAAAATTGCTTAAAAACAAAAATGCGTACCAGTTCCTATAATCATGTTAGAAGCATTATCCCTTAAAATGAGATGAATTTGACTAGAACTTATTTGCCATTCTTCCATCACATCATTTAATATCTGGCCGATATTGGAACCAGTATGACTGCCAGGAAAGTGTTTCGCGCTGAGTACAAGTATTTCTCTATTCATATCGTCACTTCGAATGAAATGAGCTGTCAGGCTTATGAATGATTCGTTATTTGCTGGACTAGTCCAAATATCGGTTGAGAATGATATGTTCTTCGCAGTAATTAATTTTTCTTTATATGCTTTTAAATTTTTATAGAGATATGGCATAATTTTTTCGGAAAAATATGTTCTACAAGGTAATGGATACTGCGGTGCTAAGTAATTCATCAACCTTTGAAATCCTTTTCGTTCAACTAGTGCGAATGGTTCAGCATCAAGAGCCATCATTTCGCCTAAAATGTAGCATTAATTGATGTTAATGTTACTTATATATAAAAATTAAAAAATACTCACAGATCTTTTTGGTTATGTTCAAGGCTTTTGGATCATCCAAAGACCACATTTCTTTTTTCTTAATTAAATATTGCAGAGTAGGCTGATAAGATTTTGATTGTGAGATCGATGTCGATGGTGGAGAATTCAAGTTTAAAGCTGGTCCATCAGTTTCGACATCATTTGTATTTCCATTTCCATCCATATTTTTAATTGTTGATGGATGTTTGCTTTTTAAATGATTCCACAAAGGCTTTGTGGAAAATAATTTGGGAGATTTTCCTCTCACAATTTTTTGTTGCGATGATTCACAAAGTAAACATTCCGCCTTTTTTTCATCATCTTTATATATTTTAAAAAATTTCCATACTAAGGATTTTTGTGCCATTTTTTGTTTATAATTAAATTAAATTTTCTTCTTCTTTTCGTAGGTTAGATTAGATTAGAAACAATAGAAAAACACTAATGCCCTTCACTAATCTGCAGAGGGATAACTTGATAGCAAATGATTAGCTTTGTTCATAGAGGACTCTGCGTCTCTAAATTATCGGTAATGGTGCCAATTTTAAATATAAAATTTTGTTACGATATCCGGCCAGGCCGGATAGACCGGATACCGGATAGTTACCGGATATCCGGCACATCCCTACAAACAATCATAAAAGTTAAAGCTTGGGTTGCTAAGACATTATCATCACAAGCAATATTTTTTCCCAAATCAATATAACCGCTAAATTTCGAACCGTCATATTCCAAATGTTCTCGAATAGCCATTTCGTCAAAGATTAAAGAGCCAAATAATGTATAATTTGTTTTTTTTACACGTTCGGTAATAGAGCTTAACGCTTCTGAAGAAATGCCAGGTTCTTCATTAATAGTTCTATACCAAGAAGAAATAGTTTTTGCGTGTGGCAAGCACTTATTAAATTGATCACGAACATATTCATATGCTCGTGGAGAATAATAGTGGAGTGTTAATGCAAATGACCTGATTTCCGGTGTATATTGTTTAGATAAGGATGCATTTTTTTCCCGTCTAATTAAGCGTTCAAAAAGCTTACCGGTTGATCCACCTAGCAGATGTATCATTTCGGCTTGTGTTTCATTTAACAGTTTATTATTTTTTAATTTGTTTAAAATGCTTTTGAGTGTGAGCACTTGATCACTGTATCGGCGTATTTGTTGGTGCACATTTCTCATTTTCTTCGCATGTTCTGCTTCCAAAAATTTTATTCTTCTTCGAAATCTACATTTTTCTGGAGAATTATAGATGCGCCTTGGTGATACCATTGTCGCTTTATCTATTTTAGATAAAGATTGTGCTAAAATAATAACAAATAATAGTTCTATCAGATTTAAATAAGTATAATATATTGAAATTATCAATCTATTTCTTTAAAAATAGGTGTATAATGCATAATTAATAAAAATTATTCTTACATGGAAACATATTTGTCACTGGTAATTCGATTGATTCTGTTGGAACTATTCGTACTAACGAATGATCTGTTGTATGTATATTATCGTTTGTAATACTGGCAGGATTTTTAATATTAGATTCTGCCACAAAATTTGAAGAAGAAAGTTGATTTTCATCATGTATAGATGATTGTTCTACTACAGTAGAATTTAAAGAAAGCTGTTGTATTGCAAGTGTTCTCTAAAATATAAGAATATTCATAAATAAAATATTATATATAGTATCAACATTTATCAAATAAAAAAATAAATTTTTATTATTATTTATACACTAGGCAATGCATTTGGCTTAAGTCGAGTTATCAAACATCTCTTATCAAAGAATTTCTCATCAAAATGAGCAGAGCAAATGCGAGCTGTATTTGGGATAGATGATAAATTTATTCCCAAAATTTCTAACCACAATGCTCGAGTTGTAGGATTTTTTGGAAACCTAAAAAAACAATGTTGTTTAGCAATTTATACTCTTAAAATAAAATATGTATATTACTTTAAATGTGAGAAAAATTAATACCTGTGGAATGTTATTTTTACATTTCTTCTATTTCCTTGTTTTTTCCAATTTTGACAATCGGATCTATTTTTGCACGATTGTAACAAATACTGCACCATTGTTGACACAAATTTTGTTAATATAATTTTTATTTCTATATTATAAAAATAACCTCAATCCCGAACCTCTTTGTGCTAACGTATGCACTATTTTACATCACTGCGCTGCGCAAACTAACAGCCAATCAAATCTAGGCACACTTTACCTCGTCGCATCGTCCCGCGTGGCTTCCCCCCCGCAGTGATATGCTCTGTCCCTATATTCCTTTGTCCGTGGTAGGGATATGGGTATCCAACACATATATATTTATGTACGCCGTTAATTAATACAAAATCAGTCTTTATTTTTGAGATCACAATTTTATCTTTGGTACAAAAAATAGAGTCTCTTACGTATAACAATCTTTCAAAAAGGGAAAAGAAAAAAAAAGAACCAAGGGAAAATAAAAATATAAGAGGTGCTAAGCCTAGCGTGGCGCCATGTGATGCCTAGTGTGGCGCTATTGTCGTATATCGCGTTGTGGTTGGTCGTTCCGTGGTTTGTCCACGAGAAATCCCCAAATCGCCGTTGGAAGGGTGAATGGACGCTACATCACTCCCCCTCGAGTGGCGCAGCTTAAGACTGAGTCGCGAATCTAACGCGTTTGCCTGGGTAGACTCTCAATTTAGTGGTTTCCGTGGCTTGCGTGGATGATGACTTGTCTTCTTCCTCAAATCCTGCTTCCATGAATGCCGGTTAATCCACAGAGATGTTAACTGCCTCTCCTTTAATAAGAACTTTAAATACATGATCTGTGATTCTTTCGTTTACCGAGTACGGTCCTTCGTATGGTGGTTCTAATGGGCCTTTTACTTTGTCCACTCGCACAAAGACGTGGGTACATGTATATAAAGTCTTATGCGTGAATGTCTTCCTTTTACTGTGATGGCTGTTGGTAGACCTGACATTCCGCATGTGCTCTCGGAAATGTTGTATAAAAGTCTCTGGTTCTCATGCAACATCTTCGTTACAGAAATATTCGGCTGGTAAACGTAGAGTAGTTCCATATACCAATTCTGCTGCTGTGGCCTTTATGTCTTCTTTGATGCTGGTGCGTAACAGAACAACTGGTAATGCTTGTAATCAATTTTTAGATTCATGGCAACGGATTGCAGTTTTCGAAGAACGATGCCAACGTTCAATTATCTTATTTGATGCTGGATGATACGCTGTAGTCCTTGTACGTTTGCATCCCAGAAGATTAGTCAGAGATCTAAACAGTTGCGATTCGAATTGTGTTCCTTGATCGGTAGTGATTGTCGTGGGCGCGCCGAAACGTGCTAACCAGGTATGAAAAAGTGCATCCATGACGGTGTCCACTGAAATATCTTGACTGGAACTACTTCAGACCACCTTGTGAAACGATCGATCATTATTATGCAGTAACGGTATTCTTTAATGCTGGGAAGCGGTCCAATGATGTCCATGTGCGCGTGATCGAATCTTGTATCAGGCACTGGGAAGTGCTCTGATTCGAGTCGGTTATGTCTGTGTGTCTTGTTTTTCTGGCACTGTAAATAAGTTCGTACCTATTCGGTAATGTCCTTATTCATTGCTGGCCATACAAATCGTTGTCCAATAATTTTTCGAGTGACGCGTCCACTGGGGTGTGCTAGACGGTGTGTGACATCGAATACTCTTTTTCGTAAGCTTTTAGGTACATAGGCCGTATCTACGACGATATCAGAATTGTACACGAATTTTCTTTAGCTGCAGTAATTGAGCTTCATTTTGAAGTAGGTCTTTGAGTTCCTCGTCGGTGTGCTGTGCCTGCGCGAGTTCTTCGGTTGTAACGACGACTAGCATGTCGATTAATTCGACGCGTGACAGTGCATCGGCTATTGTGTTGTTCTCTCCTTTGATGTAGATGATTTCCGTGCAAAATTGACCAATGAAATCAAGCTGCCTTAACTGCCTTGGCGATGCTTTCGAAAACTTCTGTAAGAAAGCATAGGTTAACGGTTTATGGTCGGTTTTTATTATGAATTTGCGACCTTCTACTATTGATTTGAAGAATTTGAGACTGTTGTAAATGGCTTGGAGCTCTCGATCATATGTGCTATAATTTCTCTGCGCTGGGCTGAATTTCTTTGAAAAGAATCCGAGGGGTTCCCAATTTCCTTGGTTGTATTGTTCCAAAACGGCACCCATTGCTGCATCTGAGGCGTCTGACTTTATTACCAGGACTGCATGTTTTCTCGGATGTGCTAATAGAGTTGCGTCTATTATTTGCGGTTTGCATTCTTGGAAGGCTTTATCTGCACGTTCATTCCATGCTGTAGGGCGTTTATCTTTCTTCTTGGCGTTCGTCAGATATTCATGGAGCGGAGCCTGCGTGAGCAGCGTTAGGAACAAATCTTCTATAAAAGTTTATGATTCCTAAGAAATGTCTGAGTCCGTTGATGTCCGTTGGTTTCTCCATCTTCTTAATCGCTTCCACTATCTTATCCAGAGGTTTAGTGCTTTGACTATTGATGGTATAATCTAAGTAATTAACCTCTTCTTTGCCAAAAACACATTTTGCTACATTGATGGATAACCCGTGTTCTTGTAATCGTTGAAATATTTGGAGTAAGTGTACGCGGTGTGTTTCCACGTTCGGTGACGCTATTAAAATGTCGTCGATGTAGCAATGACAATAGTCGATGCCACGAAGGACACAATCCATAAGCCTTTGAAATGACTGTGCGGCGTTTCGTAAACCGAAAGGCATCACGTTGTATTCGTAAAGACCAAATGGTGTTATTACTGTTTTTGGATGATCCTCCTCTGCGACAGGTATTTGATGATACGCCCTTGCTAGGTCTAGTGTCGAGAAAATGGTACATCCTTCCAAATTGTGTGCGAAATCGTACAAGTGCGGAATTGGGTATCTATCCGGCACTGTGATGTTATTTAATCGCTTGTAGTCGCCACATATTCTCCAATCGCCATCCTTTTTTGGTACTAAATGCAATGGATTAGCCCAGGGACTAGAGCTGGGTCTACAAATGCCCGCATCCAACATATATTGTATTTGTGCGCGTACTGCATGTATAATCTTTCACCAGACAATCTGCGCGCCGGTTCTGCGACCGCTGGACCTGAGTAATAATGTGATGCGTTACTCTATGCTTTGGTTTCTGGAGGCTTACCAGTTTAGTGATGTCGCTGAATTTCCGCAGGAGATCGGCAAAAGGATCAGCATGGTCAAAAGTGGTAATTCTTCCAATCTCAGAAATTGACAGTTTACCGTCTACCTTGCAACTTGTAGTTCCATCATGTAACAGTTTGTGTTTTAAGTCGACTAGTAATCCAAAATGTGCCAGAAAGTCCGCTCCAATTATGGCTTGCTTGACATCCGCCACTATGAATGTCCAATCTAGCTTCTTTCGTAATCCTAAGTCTACATTAACTAATCTTGACCCGTAGGTGGTTATCAGAGTATTATTGGCGGCGTATAATTTATATTTGCTCGCCGTACATCTTCCTCTGACTGCATTCTTTGATATAACTGACACATCTGCTCCGGTATCGAATCCCGTTTTTCCTATCTGCTACGGTTAGACGGAATGTCTTTGCGTCGCCCGCCTCCGTCATCTGGCTAGATGACGCGGTTTTCCGCGATCGCTGCCTTGGGTTCTTTCCACTCATATGGTAATAGGCATTTGAACGCTTTCTGCCCGAACTTGCAGTGATAGTAACATATATTGGATTCATGATGCTCTTGAGATTTTGATCTTGATTTATTCCTGCGCGCGTACTTCTCACGTCCTCTACTTTTGGATCTGTCTCGCTGTTGTCCACTGCGTTACTCTTTTAGTTGCTCTGCAATTGCGTCGATCGCAACCTTGAAATGCGGTAGCTTCTCCCGCATGTGGCAATTTTGCAACGGCATTGACTTGTGCTACGCTAGCTCTTGACATATCCGTGATTTTGTCAGCTTACATTGCTAATTTCAAATCTGTAACCTCATTTATGGCTAAGATACTACGTACATTGTCAAGCAGCTGCTCTAAGAATAATGTTCTAAGTACTGCGTCGGTGCACTGACCCCCTGAAAGATTCCGCAGTCTCTGCACGAAGTTTGAGGGTCTCTCATCCGCGAACTCGTTTCCACGTAGCAATCTCCGCAGTTTGGACTCGTTGGTTTCATCAAACGATCCTATTATCCTTTGCTTAAGGGTTTCGTACTTGTTTGCGATTGGCGGTGTGGCCAGAATATCTGAGGCAAAAGGCAGTACTGTTTCATCCAAATGAACTATAACGTACCTGAACTTCATGTCGTCGCTTGTCACTCTGGATATAGCGAATGCTGCTTCGATCTGCGTGAACTATAACATTGGATTTTCTTTCCAAAACGGCGGCAGTTTTACTAGGCGTGCTACGTTTATAGCCTCGGGTTCGCGGTGCTCGGTGTCTGCTCGTTGGAGGGACAAAACGTCGTCGTCGTCATAGCGTGACGCACGGCCGGCGTTTGACTCGTTCGTTGTTCTGCCTTGCGGTGGTGAGTGCGTTGTCGGCATTATGAAATCGGTC